TGTTCATTCGTTGGTAATGTTGGGAAATTACCTCTCCACGGCAATCCCGTCTCATACCAGCCTTCAGGGTTTCTGGTGAGCTGTTCTTTGAACTCGTTGTAAACTACACGTTGATCGTGTTCGGGAGCATCTTCAAGACCAAGAACGTCAAGGCGACACAACTGTTCGTAATCCAACTGATATGTTTGAGTGAGCAACATTGTCTTCCTGTCGAATTCTTTCCCTGGAGACATCAAGAACCATCCTAGTTGAGTCAGCTCTGCAACTGGTTCCATGTCCTTTCCAACTCTAGGCGGTGTCTCAGTTTTTATTCTAGAGTAGTCTCCACTGCCCAGAACAACGTGAACAGGAAGCATTGGTTTTTTGTCTTGATCTTTTATGGTCACTCCCGTCAAATGTGGATATTTTTGGATAAGATTTTCGTAGTCAGGATTCTCAAGGAAAAGCAATTCTGGCTTATCGACTTTGATTAAATTTGTTGTCATGGCGAAATTGTTCTCTGTTGATTCAATCTTAACTTCGTATGTCTCTAAACGTGGTTGTTTTGAACACATAAGCATGACGATCTTCTTCGTTTGTACATCTAGGGGTTTAGTGTGAAGTTCGTGTATTAACTTTCCTGATGCGTAGGGACTTTCCGCTCCCGAGTCTATCAAAGCTCTGCATAAAATTCCGTTTACACACACGTTCACAACAGGGAAAACACCTTGGCTCGATTGGTTTGTAGTGTAAAGTTTTTTACTACCACCGTCCCCCCCAGGAACTTCCTGCTGGTTCCCCAGTCCGGTCACAGATGGATGTGTGATGCCGTCGATCGCATTATTGGCAACTTCTCTTACTTGGACACTCAGCAGCTCTGTGGTTTTCTCCAGTGCAGTTAAAACATAGACGGTGTTTTGCTAGTATCTGTCTTCGCTCCGAAACAGTTGTCACCTTTCAGCACCCACTTGATTTATGATTTTTTCTTTGCAGTACACGCACCCCCTTTGTTGGACTTGGTCACGTGCGTGATACAATTTTCCAGGGGGAGGTGGCCGACGGTACTCACGATCCCGGGATCTGGTTTCATTCGACTGTTCGATTGGATTTCTTCGCGTCCAAAGATGTAGGGCTTCGACAAATTTGACAAAATCCCAACTCTCCCAATCCGGGTCGGTTCTTGCAAGATCACTACGAATTCCCGGTAATTTTTCGAGTGTTAAAGCCACATTTCCATTAACTTGCTGCAAACATCCCATAGTTTCCAAAGACTGCACGGCATGCATCAAAGTGTCATAAAACTCGTGAATTTTCTTAATGTTTACATTTGGTATGACCGGAAGTTCGAGAATTTGCTTCGTATATGCCTTTATAATTTCGCATTTTTCCCCATATTTCTCTTCTAGTATAGTTTTGGCTCTGACATATCCCTCACCAGTGAACGGTAGAGCTTCGACCGTCTTTCTTACGTTTGTGTCGAGTAATTCGCGCAAGTAAGCGAGTTTTGTAACGCTTGGAATTCCGCTTTTATCGATTGTCTCACTGAACTGATTCCAAAATCTTGTCCAATCTTGGTATGTCCCGTTAAACTTAGTAATTGTTAACTGACAGTTCTTAACTAAAGTTATTATTATCGCGTGACGTCAGTCTACGACAGCCAAATGTTTTTGTAAACAACGAAACCAAATTATATATATATATATATATATATATATATATATATATATATATATATATATATATATATATATATATATATATATATATATATATATATATATATATATATATATATATATATATATATATATATATATATATATATATATATATATATATATATATATATATATATATATATATATATATATATATAGACGAATGAATAAATTGGTTACCCAACAATTATGTTTCTCATTCGTTCTTTTGGTCACAATAAAACTATATATCAAAGTTAAAGTGCATATGTATGGTGTCCCATTTCCGCCAAAAATCAACTTTTGAATTTCACTATATGATATTTTGAGGATCATATTCATTTCATTAAAATAACAACATTGTTTTTGAAGATCACCGGTTGAAAACACAACTTATTTTTTGAAGACCAACTTTTAAAGACCAACTTTTGATACCCAACCGCAATCCAATGTCTTTGTTGTTCCCGGGCTCATTTATTATGTTTTCAAAATGGAGAAAGAAGACAAACAATACTTGCTACATGCAATTTTTGATGTGATAAATTCCATCGACCGTTTTTCACAGTCTCCACACGCTAATGCAGACTACCAATAGCTTATCCTGAAACTTGATAAAAAACTGAAACTCCTGAAACTTGTAAAATCCTGAAACTTGTAAAAACAACGGTTGCTAGTAAATATGAATTTGATTATTCGATATGTGCAAACGTTGAAGAGACATATAACATTCTTTTAAATATGCAACAAATGTAACACCAATCCAGACAATAGGATATCCGGAGGGGGTAGGAGGTTAACTTCTAATTTCCTCCGTGGGGGTGGTATGGATGTTTTCTGGAATGACCCATTGATAAACGGAGAAAAACCTAACAGGATAATGTATTGTCCTAGAACATAGATATCCTAATATATTACACACAGTCAGCAGTGCCGTAGCAAGCTCGATAATTGGGGGGGGGGGCTGATATTCATATATTTGTGTTCACAGACCATAGAAACAATGGATTTCTAAAGAAATTAATAACACAGAACACGAATATATGAATATCAGACACCCTCCCCCACCCCCACCAATTATCGAGCTTGCTACGGTACTGTTTAGGTGTCCAAATGGTACACATGACATTAAAAACCTGCACAAGCATCCCCCTGCCCCTCCCCCCCAAAAGAAGTTGATGTCTGCTGCCTCTGCCCGAAATATGTTCTCCTTTTGGAGGATGTAAAGGAGTGGATATTAAAGTTATAAATGTTTATGTAATCTACTCCTTCATATACTACAAAAGGAGAAAATCGCAACTAAAATTGCAGCAACAAATGGCAACAATACAACAACTTACTGTGTAATGTTAGATAATGCAGGGGTATTCTGCAATCTAACCTGATCAAAAGTAAAATATTATACGAGCCGCCAACACCAAGTCATAAATCATAATTAACTCATTAATACATGTCATGTACATTGTACAGTATATGAATAATTCATATTCTTGAATTTACATCAGTCTGCACAAAATGGATAAGGAAAATAAAACACTGAATATATAAAAAGTTTAGTTACTCAGACAGAGATTATTTTAGCGGAAAATCACGACAATATGAGCCCGCGAACAACAAAGACATTGGATTGCGGTTCGGTATCAAAAGTTGGTCTTCAAAAGTTGGTCTTCAAAAAACAAGTTAAGTTGTGTTTTCAACCGATAAACCGGTGATCTTCAAAAACAATGTTGTTATTTTAATGAAATGAATATGATCCTCAAAATATCATATAGTGAAATGCAAAAGTTGATTTTTGGCGGACATGGGACACCATACATATAACATGAAATTTCTTATTTTCTTAAATGAAAGAACTCTTTAAGCTGTAGTGTAACTTATTTTTCAGTTTCTTGTTTATATGTTTTGTTCCCGAGATATTTTAATCTGTTTGGTATGTAAATGAGTGTGAATATGTCCGCTAATTTATGACGTCATGTTGGTTGCAAGCTCTTCAAAATGGTTGAATATCACTGTTATCATACAAGATGATAATTTCAAACTTCACTCACTGGTAAATGGGATGAAATACTGTAGAGAAGCGTGAACAGATACCTACAGTTTTTAGAGTTAATACATTTGTAACCAGTGTAAGTTGAGCTTCCAACCAACGTGACGTCATAAATTAGCGGACATATTCACACTCATTTACATATCAAACAAATTGAAATATCTCGGGAACAAACCATGAAAACAAGAAACAGAAAAATAAGTTACACTATTGCTTAAAGGATTCTTTCGTTTAAGAAAATAAGAAATTTCATGTCATATGCACTTTAACCAAATAATATTTGATAGGCAAATTTATGCAAGTTTTTAACATTGTCAAATATGTTTTTCAATTTAAAACACTGATAGCTCAGTAAATGTCGCACGGACATTCAAATCTTATATATCAAATTATAATATAGCATTTGCAAATTCTGAACGCTGATTGGCTAAGAGCCGTGTTGATATAACTTAATGTCAACACGGAAACGTCGGAAAATTTCTTTCTTTATAAAACATTTTTTCCGTATTAAATATACAGTTATATCAACATACAGCTTTTTGTGGCAATGATATTCACTTCCCCGGGCAAGTGTTAAGTAACTAGAAGTTACAACTCTGTTACTTCTGATAACTTGGCATTCTTAACCAATTAACCACCATCACTCTCCCACTCACAAATAAAATTGTCTGGCGTTAGACAGGAATACAATAAAGGGTGCGATGCAACTTCATGGGTTAAAATTTGAAATTTTGACTGTGCGACCATGATTTTTGGGACTCAAATTGACCATAGTGACTCAAATTTTCCCACGAAAAGAAATCAATAATTTATTTGTAATCATTCTGTTATGTAGGATAGAGTTTACAACATGAGAAAGAATTTTTGAACAGCCAAATCCATTAGATATGTATAAAATGTAAGGTGCTAAACTGTCTGTACCAGTGTTGGTAGTACCAATGTGAAAATGCTGTGCTGAGTGGTTATATTACTACCTTAAAAAATAAGCAGAACTCGACGTTTTGAGCGAAGGCCCTTCGTCAAGAGTTAGCTAGTAACTGTTGACGAAGGGCCTTCGCTCGAAACGTCGAGTTTCTGCTTGTTTTTTTAAGGTAGTAATATAACCACTCAGCACAGCATAAAATGTAAGGGCAACGTTGTTGGTATTTGTGATTTAATATGCTATTGTCTCATTCCAGAAAACATTCATATGGTTATGATTTAACCTCAGTTGTATTGGAGATACAAGTGAGGTTAAATCAAGTGCTACTTGTTTCAGTAACCCATTTTGTGATAGCACTGCATGACAGGCAAAATCATCTGACATTAGACCAAGTAATACAATAAAGTTGTGGCACAATGCGGCTTATGCAATGTCCGGCCTAGTGTAATATCCAGTTAACACCCCATCTCAGCGACCAGCCAAACTTCTCGAGAAGTGTTCCTGTTTTAATGGGTTAGCATGACCATGATGTGTCTGAATATTATGCCTTGATGTGCCCTTTAGTTCTCTGTCCAGCGTCAGACCATTTTACTCATCATGGCTAAGTGGAGAGTGCTGGACTGCTGATGCCTAATTTATTAATGGCTTTTTTAAAGATAATTCAATCTTCTGTAACTATGGATGCACATGTAAAAAGAATACTACCATAGTTAATAGTTTGGTAGTTTTATGCTGTTGTAAGCTTAGACTATTTTTACACTATAAAGTCTGCAGTAAATATACAGTCATTTAGACCCATTTAATTATAAATTGCTTTTAAGGCCTATTTAATATGATCCCAGGCTAGATATTTGGCATGATCCAGCTTCCAATATGAACTATATCGACTGTTTACAGAAAAGTGAATTATTCTACTTCTTTCTGGTCTAGACAGGATCTCATTATTTGTTGCGACTCAACGGGTTAACTAGACACATGGGCAGATAGGCCACTTAACCCATTAAGCGCCAGCGCTCTCCACTTGACGAGTAAAATCGTCTGGCGTTAGACAGAGTAAAATACTAAAGTAGGGTGCATCAGGGAGCAATGCGACTCAATGGGTTAAAGTCAATCCATTTACATACAAAAACCAAGAAATATGCACTGAATTGATAATCTTAATAATCAATTCTATATATTGGGTTAACAATTTTATGATTCAGATAGATAAGATTGCGGTTTACTCAAGTTGAATATTCTTAAATAATGTTCATGTTTTGGCTTTAAGACTGGGCTTGTAGCAATCAGCAATGTAGCCATATTTATATTCATATTAACATATTGTTTTATATACTATGTGGGTTCAAACATGCTTTCTCGAGTTTTGTCAAACAATGAAATGACATTGGATAAGTTAGCTGGAATACGAAGCGATTTGGTTCGGACCGACCCGGAATGGGAGGACTGGGACTACAACAAGCTCACTGAGGCCCTAAAGTTGTGGACTCGACGAAATCCCATCGATAAAGAAAGACACTCGTGACACGAAACCGTGACAACAAGGTATTCAATACAAAGCTGGGTGCGCGAGGGTGTGTTTATTGTGATGCAAAGGAGCACAAGTAGTACAAGTCGACTGACTGTCCCAAAGTTGACTGTACCAAGGAAAGAAAGTCAGTACTGACCAAACGGCGACTTTGTTTCAACTGCACGGGCGAAGGTCATCAAGCGGCGAGTTGTACAAACAAGATAGCATGTCAGAACTGCGATGTAATATGCTGTGTTTCTTATTATTATTGTATTGGCAACGGGCAGTAGTTTCCTACAATATATATATATATATATATATATATATATATATATATATATATATATATATATATATATATATATATATATATATATATATATATATTTTTTCGTTTTACCTCAAAAAACCACAACAGTCCGTTTCATCCGTATAGGAATCATCAGGT